AACCTTCTCTTAAAGAACCCACTCACACTTACTCAGACTCAGTCCATCCCTCTGAGCTCCAGTAATGGGGTAGCAGCTTGAAAGGCACCAGTGGCATACAGGGAGGAATTGAAGTTTCTGGCATCAAGGCGAGAGCTGGGGGACAATTCTCTCCCAGACAGAAAGGTAGGGAGAGGCCATTGCTACTTTTGTGAACCCTACCCCCACAAAGCCAGAGTCGGCAGGTGAGTGCCATATCCGAGGCTCCATCAACCAGGTTAACACTGTTTGCTCCATCCTGGAGATTCCCGGAAGCTCCATCCCACCTAACTTATGGGCCCAATCAAGCTGTTAAGATTGGCTTGTCCATATGAATGGCTGGTCTTGGCTCATGATTCACAAGTTCCTAAATCCTCTCAAACAAGCAACAGCTGGCCTTAGTGAGCTCCCGGCCCCCATACCTATTGCTGAGTGGCCCTAGGTTGGCACTAGCAGCAGCCAGCCTAGGTAAACAGCTTGGCTTTACCTGGGAATCTCTGATCCCAACACAAATAACAGGCATCTACAGCTTGCTTTATAGCTCAAGCTTGGTGGCACCAAGTAGAACACAGGTGGAGGGCTGACCTTAGCCTGCACCAACTGGGAAACCCCAGAACCTGCTCACCCATGCACAGCTACAGACCACATCAAAGCACCGCCACCATGCCCCTGAACAGCTGTTCTTCCATGGAGGGTGGAGGTTGTTGGTTAGTGGTCACAGCCAGTCTTTGCAGCTGACTGGCCTAGATATATCCCTTTCATTGCCCTACCAACAGCAATCAAAGCTCAACTACAAGAGGAGGGAGTACTCAGCCCACAGAAAGGGCACACCTTGAGTACCCAGCTTGGGTGACAGGGAAGGCTGTCCACTGGACCCTACAGGACACCTACAACATTAGGTCATGCTACCAAGACAGGGAATCATAGCAGCTCTACCTAATACATAGAAACAAACACAGAGAGGCTGCCAAAATGACAAGACAAAGAAACATGGCCCAAATGAAAGAACAGATCGAAATTCCAGAAAAAGAACTAAACAAAATGAAGATAAGCAATTCAATGCACAGTTCAAAAGACTGGTTATAAGGATGTTCAAGGAACTTAGTGAGTACCTAAGAGCATAAAAAAAGATCCAGTCAGAAACAAAGGATACACTAATTGAAATAAATAACAATTTATGGGGAAACAGCAGTAGAGTGGATGAAGCAGAGAATCAAATCAATGACTTGGAACATAAGGAAGCAAAAAACAACCAATCATTTTTCTTCATAATAGCAAGAAGAAAAAGCAATCAAAAAAAATTGAGGACAGTGTAAGCAGCCTCTGAGACAACTTCAAGCATTCCAACATTCACATCATAGAGGTGCCAGAAGGAGAGGAGAGAGAGCAAAAAATTGGAAATCTTTTTGAAAAAATAATGAAAGGAAATTTCCCTAATTTGGTGAAGGAAATAGACATGCAAGTACAGGAAGCACAGAGAGTCCCAAACAAGATGGATGCTAAGAGGCCCACTCTAAGACACATCATAATTAAAATGCCAAAGGTTAAAGAAAAACAGAGAACCTTAAAAGCAGCAAGAGAAAAGCAGTTATTTACCTACAGGGGAGTTCCCATTAGACTCTCAGATGATTTCTCAGAAGAAACTTTGCAGGCTGTAAGGGAAATAGCAAGACATATTCAAAGTCATGAAAAGCAGGGACCTACAGCCAAGGTTGCTCTACCCAGCAGAGCTATCATTTAGAATCAAAAGGCAGATAAAGAGCTTACTAGACAAGAAAAAACTGAAGTAATTTATCATCACCAAACCATTATTATATGAAATGTTAAAGACACTTATTTAAGAAAAAAGAGATCAACCTATAAACAATAAAATGGCAAAAAAATACATATCTATCAACAATTGAATCTAAAAAGCAAACTAAACAACCAGGAAGGACAGGGACAGAATCATGGATATGGAGAGCATTTTGATGGTTGCCTGATGGGAGGGGTAATGGGAGATGTGACAGAATGAAGAGGTACAAATTGGGGACTTACGGTCAAGGTGGAGACACAGATAAACGTGCCTCTCCTCGATGCACAAGTAAAGCAAAAAATACAGCTACAATACAAAAGAAATATCACACAAAATTGTCAGAAAATTGAGCTGTGTGGAAGTCTGAAAACCAAGATTTAAAGAAGCCACATTCATCCAGACAAGTAGGAGGGGCCACAATGTGGAGAAATATGGTGTCGCAGAGTGGTACAGAAAGGAATGGAGATGGGAATGGGCAGTCCCACGTCCATGTGTGCTGGATAAAAAATGGGAGGGATACCTCGAGAGCAAGTGATCCCAGCTCCAGTCCAGACCACCCAGGCCAGGACCCCAGGGCCAGGAAGATAAGTCCCCATAACTTCTAGCTGTAAAAACCAGTGAGGGTTGGAGTGGCATAGGAAACAATATCCTCTTAAAGGGTCTGCAATGTACTTAGGACTTACACAGACCCACACCCTCTGGGATTCCACACCAGGGCAAGAACTGGAAGGGCACCGGTGACATAGGATAGAAAGTGAAGTACGAGTGAGGAGACAGCTTCCTCCTGTGCAAAACTCCAGAGTCCAGGCAGCGACATTTTCCCCTCTCTAAGCCCTCCCCTACACAGAGCAACAGAGTGGTGACTTGGGTTGCCCCGCCCTGGTGATTACCTAAGGCTCCACTCCATACAACTTAACAGGTGTGCTAAAACAGGGAGTCAAAGCAGCTCTACCTAATACACAGAAAACAAAAACAGGGAGCCTTCAAAAATGAGAAGACAAAGAAATATGGCTGAATGAAAGAACAGAACAAAACTCCCCACAAAAAAGTACAAAATAAAATGGAGATAAGCAATATATCAGATGCATATTTCAAAACTCTGGTTATCAGGATGTTCCAGGAACTCATTGGATACTTCAGTGCCATAAAAAGGACCCAGGCAGAAATGAATTAATGCATTAAGTGAAATACAGAAAAATCTACAAGGACACCAAGGAAGGAAAAATTATTCCAACAGAACAGCAGGTAGAAAAAAGAATTTAAAAAAATGAGGATAGACTTAGGAACCTCTGGGACATCTTTAAACATACCAACATCTGAATCATAGAGGTACCAGAAGCAGAAGAGGTCAAGCAAAAAATTGAAAACTTATTTAAAAAAATAATGAAAGGAAATTTCCCTAATTTGGTGAAAGACGTAGATATACAAGTCCAGAAAGCACAGAGAATTCCAAACAAGATGGCCTCACAGAGGACCACATCAGGACACATCATAACTAAAGTGCCAAAGGTTAAAGATAAAGAGAGAATCATAAAAGTAGTAAGAGAAAAGCAAAGAGTTACCTACAAAGGAGTCCCCAAAAGACTGTCAGCTGATTTCTCAAAAGAAACTTTGCACACTAGAGGGACTGGCAAGAAGCATTTAAAGTGATGAAAAGTAAAGACCCACAACTTACGTTACTCTATTCCAGCAAAGCTGTCATTTAGAATTGAAGGGCAGATAAAGTGCTCCCCAGACAAGGTAAAACTAAAAGAGTTCATCATCATCAAGCCATTATTATGTGAAATGATAAAGGGAATTATATAAGGGAAGAAGATAAAAATGATGAACATTAAAATTGCAATAAATTCAAAACTATCAATAATGAATCCAAATAACAAACTAAGCAAAGAAGCAGAACAGAAACAGCGTCATAGATATGGAGATGATTTTGGAGGGTAATCAGTTGGTAGGGGGAAGGGGTAAATGGGGAGAAGGTGCAGAGATTAAAAATCAAAAACTGGTGGGTTCAAAATAGATAGGGAGATGTTAAGAACAGCATAGATAATGGAGAAGCCAAAGAACTTATATGCACAACCCATGGACACACCATGGAATGGTGTGGGGATTTCCTGAGGGAGTGGGGTGTGCTGGATGGAGAGGGGGAAAGGGGGGAAATTGGGACAGCTGTAATAGCATAATGAATAAAATATAATTTAAAAGGGGGGAAAAAAGAGAAACTACCCACAAACATTGTTGGATGGCTTTAGGACAAATCTGTTAACACTCTCAACTTTAGTTTGCTTATCTTCAAGTAGATGATGATAATGCTGACCTTGGCCAGCAGTTGTACATATCAGGGATAATATGGCAAATGACCATCACTGTGTAGAGAGTGCAGATGAGGTAACTCTTATGATTATTACTACTATTCTTATCTACTTAGAGAATAGAAAGAGGCTTTACAATGGATTTGCAAGAAGCTGTATAAATTCTTCCTCATTGTACAATGGCTAAGATCATGCTCTATACAAGATTAAGACTACTTCCTAGTTATGAGATTTTAGACAAGTTTGTTTAACCTTGTGTGCCTCAATTATTTCAGCTGTAAAATGGGGATAATATTAACTTTTTATCACAAAGAGCTCTAGTGGGGATTAAATGAGATAAACTGAGCACTGCTTAGAACAATGCCTAGCATACAGTAAACACTTAAGACATGTTCTCTATTAAGTTATAAGCTGTTACCCTTAATTTCATGAATACTGAAACTGAGGTTCATGATTTGCCGTGTTAGTAGGTGGTGTAGGGGGTGCTGAAAGGTCTTCTCTCCTTTTCTTCCTTATTTTCTCTCCTCCCTTTCTTTCTTGTATATCTACTTATTGGACTGGAGTAATATACAATAATTACTGCCTAGTTGAGTGGGATCTAGGACATCTGATTCCTGTCCATTTTCTTTTCCCTATTGCACCCCCTTCCAACTTGTGCCAGGGCACCAGTAAGTACTCACTCACATATCTTGCTTCTACTGCAGTAAAGTCATATTATACTTTTTTTCTTTTGCCACTAGCCTACAACTATTAGCTTTGATGTCCAAAGTTCCAAGATTTTTATTTGCATCTTCATACTTGAGAAATCAATAGGGTTAAGGAAATAAGAACCAGTGCTTACATAAGTGTTTATTAGACTTTCCTTTATCATCTTTCAGGTCTTGTAGAAATTTGCCTGATGCACCCCCTCGATGTGGTGAAAACCAGGTAAGGTTCTGCATGAACAAGTTTTATTGACTTTGGCTGATATCCAAATTAAGGTCTGTCAGAACACTAAATGCTAGAACTTGTCCCAAGCCGGTAGCTTCTCCCAATAATGGCATTTATATTTACTTCTTAAAGAAAATAGTATTTGACAGATAAGATGTGAACAGTGAAAAGCATTTCTGGATTGAGGTCATCTGAAGGCATATAATATTTTACTGCCTTCACATGCAACCATGAGGTATGACTTGTGGCTAAACTGGTTAAGTGAGGTAAATTTATCAAAATGATGTAAAAACTAAACTTTACCCAGTGAATTATTGCAGCAGACTTTCATTTGGCATTGCATATAACAGATTACTATTTAATAGTCAGCATTTCGGTGTGAGACTCCAAATTTCAAGTAAACTTCTTAAATGGTGCTTAACAAATTTATTCCTATAACTGTTTGCCAATGTAAAATGCCATATTTCCAGGAAAAATGCATTTGCTACTCAAGGCAGATACAAATAAGAGCAATGTATTAAATCTATTTATCAAGAGAAAAAAATCTTATGAGTTTTAATATGATCTGGAGCATTTTAGAAACTTAAACGTGTGGCTGAATTGTGGAACTCTTTTTTTCAGAATAGAAGCTCTGAGAATATAGTGCAAGTTTCCATTTATTTATATTGTGTGAAACCGAAGCACACTATACCTAGGCTGTACGTAGCATAACAGCAAAAAGTGCCAAGCAAGAAGAGGGTCGAACAAACCCTTACTGCCACAATTAGGTAATACAGTCACCCTGCTTAGCCACGGTTTCTCTGAGGTTTCAGTTAATGACGGTCAACTGTGGACCAAGAATATTAAATAGAAAATTCCAGAAATAAACAATTTACAGACTTTAAATTGTATGCCTTTCTGAGTATTGTGATGAATTCCACATCATCCCACTTTGTTCTGTCCAGGACGTGAATTATTTCTTTGTCCAGCATATCCACACTGTATGTGCAGTACAATAAGGTATTTTGAGAGAGAAACTAAATTCACATAACTTTTATTACAGTTTACTGTTCTAGTTGTTCTATTTTATTATTAGGTGTTGTTGTTAATCTCTTACTTTGTCTAATTTATAAATCAAACTTTATCACAGGTATGTATGCTTAGGAATAAACATAGTATCTATAGTGATTGGTGCTATCCACCGTTTCAGGCACTCACTGAAGGTCTTGGAATGTACCCCCTACAACGAAGGGGGGACTACTGCACTTGATGAGCTAGGCTGGTCATTGAATAGACATGCTGCTAATTTACCTAAAGAGGCCACAGACTCTTAGGCTGGTTGCTGAAAGCAAGGGGAGCTGACTATGCCATGCATATCATATTACATTTCTTTTCTTTTTTTAGTTTTAATTTTTTATTGTATTTTTTTCCATTACTATTTAGTCCCCATACAGTCCCCTGCACCCCTCACAATCACCACACTTTTGTCCATATCCATCAGTCCTTTTCCTTTTTGCTCAATCTTTCCACCCCCTAACCTCCACCACCTTCCACCCAGGTGTCGTCCTGCTCTCTATCTGTGAGTCTGACTTTATTTTACTTATTAGTTCAGTTTGTTCATTAGAGTCCACATGTGAGTGAAATCATATGGTATTTGTCATTCTTTCACTGGCTTATTTCCATTACCGTAATGTTCTCCAGTTCCATCCATACTGTAGCAACGGGTAAAAGTTTCTTCTTTTTTATGGCCAAGTAATATTCCATTGTTTTAATGTCCCGTAGTTGTTTTATCCACTCATCTACTGATGGACACTTGGGCTGCTTCCATATCGTGGTGACTGTAAATAATGCTGCAGTGAACTTAGGGGAGCTTATATTCTTTCAAATTAGTGTTTTGGGCTCCTTCAGATATATTCCCAGAAGTGGGATCACTGGGTCAAAGGGCTGATCCATTTTTAATTTTTTGAGGTATCTCCATAATGCTTTCCACCATGGCTGCACCAGTCTTCATTCCCACCAACAGTGCCAAAGTGTTCCCCTTTCTCCACACCCTTACTAGCATTTGTTGTTTGTTGATTTATTGATGATAGCTATTCTGACAGGTGTGAGATGATTATCTTACTGTGGTTTTAATTTGTATTTCACTGATGATTGGTGATGTTGAGCATCTTTTCATATGTCTATTGGCCATCTGCATGTCCTCTTTGGAGAAGTCTCTATTCAGGTCCTTTGCCCACTTTCTAATTGGATTGTTTGGTTTTTTTGGTGTTGAGTTTTCTAAGTTCTTTATAAATTTATATAGTAACCCTTTATTAGATCTATTGGCGAATATGTTCTCCCATTCTGTGGGTTGCCTTTTTATTTTGTGGGTGCTTTCCTTTGCTGTGCAAAAACTTTTTGATTTGAGTTAGTCCCATTTATTTATTTATCTTTTGTTTTCCTTTTCTGAGGAGATCTATCTGATAAAATATTGCCACAAGATGTGTTTGAGATTTTGCTGCCTATGTTTTCTTCTAGGATTTTTATGGCTTCGGGCCTAATATTTCAGTCTTTAATCTATTTTGAGTTTCTTTTTGTGTGTGGTATAAGAAGTTGTCTAGTTTCATTTTTCTGCATGTCTCTGTCCAGTGTTCCCAACACCATTTATTGAATGAACTATCTTTAGTCCATTGTATGCGCTTGCCTCCTCTGTTGAATATTGACTATAAAGGTGTGGGTTTATTTCTGGGCTCTCTATTCTTCTCCATTGATCTATGTGTCTGTTTTTATGCCAGTATCATGCTGTTTTGATCACTATGGCCTTAGAGTACAGTTTGATATTAGGTAGTATGATTCCTCCAACTTAGTTATTTCTCGGGATCATTGTTGCTATGCCAGGCCATTTATGGTTCCACATAAATTTTTGAAATATTTATTCTAGTTCTGTGAAATATGTCATTGGAGTCTTGATAAGAATTGCATTGAATTTATACGTTGCTTTGGGTAGTGTGGCCATTTTAATCATATTAATTCTTCCTATCCATGAATACAGTATGTATTTCCACTTTTTTGTATCTTCTTCAATTTCTTTCTTCAATATCTTACAATTTTCTGAGTACAGGCCTTTTACATCCTTGGTTAGGTTTATTCCTAGGCATTTTGTTCTTTATGAAGCAATTGTAAATGGGATTGTTTTCTTAATTTCCCTTTCTGTTACTTCATTATTGGCATATAAAAATGCATCTGATTTCTGGATATTAATTTTTTATCCTGTTACTTTGCTGAATTCAATCATATTACATTTCTAATAGAGGTAGACAAGATGAGAATATGACCTCTGTCTTACCTCAGCCTCTATAACAAATACCACAGACTGGGTGGCTTAATCAACTGCCATTTATTTCTCACAGTTCTGGAGGCTGGGAAATTCAAGATCAAGGTGCCAATTAGTTTGGTTCTTGGTGTGGACTCGCTTCCTCCTTGCAGGCAGTCCCTTTGCTGTATCCTCACATGGCAGAGAAATGGGGCTCTGATACCTTTTTTTTCTTATAAGGGCACTAATCTCACCATGGGGGCTCCACCCTCATGATCTCATCTAAACCTAATTACATCCCCCAAAGTCCTCCCTTTAAATAACATCATATTGGGGGTTAAGGCTTCAAAATATGAATTTGGGGGTTTGCAAACATTCCACTGATAACAGCCTTAAGTCACCAAACTGAAAAAGAAGAAATGAAACCACAAATGATATTTAAATATAAGATGTGCACATTCCCTGGACTATCCTTTCATAGGGTTCGGAAACAAAAAGCAAAATTCACTGGCATTTCCTTCTTAGATTTCATTTTAACCTTCTTTGAAAAGCCAGAATATTTTTGCTAGTCTTGCTGAGAAATAAAAGTGTAACTTAAGGGCAATCACCTAAATTTGGGAAGTGTTCAAATGAGGACAGAGGAGAAAAAAAGAATGATTTAAGCAAGACGTTTTATTGAAATTATGGTTATTCAGTCACTCGATCCTTCTTTCATACATTCAACAAGCATGTATTGATTATCTTGTATGTGTGGGTTCCAGACTAGCTTTGCCCTCAAAGAGCTCACAGTCTGATGAGCTAATAAGAATCTCGTCACAATGAATTTCAAAAATTGTTGTACAGTTGACCCTTCCACAAAGGGAGGTTAGGGGCGGCAACCTCTCACACAGTCAGAAATATGCACTACTATTATATTATTTCTTTGTATGGCAGACAAATAGAATAATTTTTAAATAGATGTGCAAAGTTACTGGCGCTTTATATCTCCTTTTTCATGTAGATGTATTCATGAAAATGACATTCATTTATTAGAAGCAGTCACATGCCCTTGCCTAACTTCCAGGGGGATGGAAAATGCAATCCTTACAATAGCCCTAAATGAGAAGGGAACTGGATACTGGATGGTGTTTGGTCTGCATAATAATAAAAAATACATTGAACAAAAACCCACAATCATAGAGTAAACTGAAAGTCCAAAATATATGCAACTCACTTTGCAACAGAAGTAGAATATGCAAGATTGGTAGCACTTATCACTGGATACTAACACATAGGGAGTAGACAGAACAGACTAAATAATGCTAAACTCTCCTCACTATTATATGGTTTAGGACATAACTACCTTTCTAAATAAAATAAACTGTAAACTGTAAGAGACAGTATATGAAACTATGTAGCATTAATTATTTGAGCAGGTCACTTTTCTAAATGATGACATCCAACGGCACTGATGTCTAAGTTATTGCAGACATTGTCCAAGTGGGGCATGGTATACACCAGGCCAAATGTTACCTGCTTTACAGGGTTTTTTGTGGGCTATTTTTGCCCCTTATTATATATTATTACTGGAAAGTAATAATATATAATAACATATTATATATTATTACTGGAAAGTAATACTATATAATAATATATTATATATTATATACTATATTATATATACTATATTGTATATAATTTAATATTATTATATATTATAATAATATATTATATATAATACATTTTA